ATTGATCGACTCCGCTCGCGACTAATCTTGTTCGCTTTTCTAACAGCGCGAGAGGTTCTTACGTCGTCGTGATTTAATAAGGATTTCGAAAGTCACGAAGCGCGCGCACAGAGAGCGTCGGGGTCTCCCGTCGTCGTCTCGCGGCCCGTTTGGTATTTTATTGTTTTCACAGCTTCACCCCTCCCACTATCAATTATCCTCTCCTCTCCTCGATTCATTTATTCTCTCGTCCTAGATATCGTTGCGTCACCGTGAAATCCTTTCGTCACGGTGCCAAGGTGCCGGCTCTCTAATCCGAGCGGGAAACCTTTGTCCGCTGAAATTGTAACGTTTTTTGCTCGCAACGCCGATATACTTATTGCACATCGCGTAAGTCTGTAGATAAAACTCCTTCTTTTACGTGTTTTAAACGTGCGACAAAATTGTTTTTTTTTTTTTTAAACTTGCGATTGTGAAACATTTTCACAAAATGTTTCAAAAAATGTTTAAAAAACTAATTTTTTTGTGTAATAAGACAAGAAAAATATTTAACTTTTTCAATTATATATTTTATATTTACAGAATACACATTATGTTAAAATTTAAATAATTGTAAATTAATGAAGTAATAACGAGAAAGAAGAAATTTCAGTGCTTTAATTGCTTAGCAAACATATCAAAATAAAAGTATAGAAAGTAAAATTATTCTCGATCATCGACACCGATGAACGGCGAATGTAAATTAATGAGTGATAGCCTGGTGATGACGAACACGATCGTCGACGTTGTACGTAATTTTCTTCTTAATCACGTGTCTTCGATACAGATTCATCACCGCGCGACGATCGAAAACACGGAAGAGCGATTGGGATCGTACGGCGAATCGTAGCGCGGATCACGGTAGAAAGACGGAGAGGAACAGACATTCCAACGAGAAGAGAAGTCGAGGTCACACAAAACCTGTTCGAAGAGTTACGAGATCGCGAAACGGGGGCTTGAAACACGCCTGAGACACGCGTTCGCGTTTTCGCAATCGTTGTGTATCTTGATTTATACAAGTCAACAGATTCCGTCGACACTTGACAGTATTTTTGTGTGTGTATGTGTGTGTATGCGCATCTTAATTTGCGAGGCAATACAAATTTTACGTCTGGCTCAATCTCGACACGTCTGATCCAGTCGATCAGTAAGTTGAAGCAAAGATGCATCGACTTAAAAACTCAAACGACTCGTATATTTTTCATTTTTTTCTCGTAGGCAATTTCACAAACAAATTATTTTATACTTTAAATTATTTAATTAAAAAAATCTAATGTATATATTATAACGTACTTGGTAGAATGTGTTTAATACATTGGGAATATATATTGTTCTCATAAAGCACAAATAATATTTACATCTTTTTAAATATAATACATTTCACAATATAAAATATCTAGTTCTCACATTTCTAACAATAGTTAATTTTTTTCTTAAAATTGTCCTGACGCAGAAGTTAATACAAAAGTTTAATTTATTTAATTGTTTTATTTTATTCGCAATATATACATATTTATATATCTCTTTGTGTTATTTATATTGTATGTGTTATATTTTTTCTCTCTACTAAGAAGGTATTAAGAATATATATATATTTTTTTTTTCAAGTAATAAGGTACACGTGACAAATCGCTTATTTCGTAATTGATTGATTCGTAATCCTTCTTGTGAAACGCAACGCGTCGGAAAATACGCGTATTCTTTATCGACAAACAACTCCTTGACTGACATTTCCGATTTCGCATCTTTTTTTTTATGACTGTAAGATCAGACAAGGTGTCCTGACGAGAAGCGAACAAGAAGCGAAATCACTCCGTCATCGTTAAGCGGAGGAAAGGATTTTATTTTTAAAGTAATTACTGTTAGAGCGCGTTTAACCGCGGAATATTATTTAAAAAAAAAAAAGCCACTTCTCTTCGAGCGGCCATTATTTCCGCGCTGCGTTTCGCGATGTTCGAGTAAAGCCGTGAGAACCAGAATGATGGCATGACCGGAAGAATGGCTTGAGAACTGAGAGACTTGAAGATAGTCGACGAAGAATCGCAAGTATACAAGGCGCACTGAGAAGATTCGAATCGTGAGAACAAGACGGGAAAACTCGGGAAGAACGCGCGTTTACTCCCTCTCGGATATACGGTGCGGCTTTCTCGCCCCCATAAATAAGTCATTTCGCCGCGTTATACACGAAATCGATTTCCCCGTGAACCTCATCTCGATCGTTTTCGTCGCGAATCGATTTTATCTTAATCAGCATGAAACGAATGGAATCAAGCCGTCCCGTTGTAATCCGCTCGACTACATGATTCATTACAGGCAAAAAGAGGATAGGCAACTCTCAGTGCGAAAGACCGATAGCTAAAGCTTTTTAGCACTCTCTTGACCGTCAGTAATCGATTATTATAAACGACGGAGAATTATCGTCTCTCTCTCGTAGTTATCGTGTGTAACTTAAGGAACTACTTGACGCGTAAAACTTGACGATGCAACAAGCATATATCATATGTACGAAAAAACATATATCAGAAATTGCACGGTTTAAAAATTCTATAATTACTTTAATTAATAAAAATCCATAATTAGATTATTCTATTCTATAATAATATAATTCGTTTACTTATATAACACTTTCCGAGATCGATTCTCCACTAATAGAAAAATATTTTCACTGAGAAACCATCGGGCTTCAAGTTTAACATCAAATCTCGCGGAAGACTGATTTCTGGTACATTGTATAGCAGAAATAATTAGGAAAAGACAAGAACAGACAGATGTATACTTTACTCCGCACTGGAATTATAGCCTGCAAGAGACGAAGAGGACAAGAAGAAGCGCATCCCGGCGCGAAGGAGCCCGACAGCCACGGCACTGGTCGAACCTGAGAAATCGGTGGGAACGATTTCGCAGGTGGGAGCGAGGCAACGTCGAGACCGGCCCACTGGTCTCGCGGCCTGAGTGCAGGGACTGCGAACATGGAGGTCCCGAGTTTGAATCCGCTCAACATCTTATAGGATTTTTCTTGGTCTCTTTCAATCGAGTTGACCGGTTGAAAGGCGAACTGAATCGGACCTCTAATAATTAATGCGAGTAAAATCTCAAATTTAATCTCTTCCAAAAACGGGTTCTTAGTCACGTCAAACTTTGAGCGCAAGCCTGACACAAATGGAGGCGCCCTTTGTGAAAGACGCCCGTGCCGATTGGATTAGAAGTACTACACAGAGAAGGAAAGAAAGGTGAAAAGTAATAGATTCAAGATAAGATTTGAGAAGATAATGTGTGTCATATAGTCAAAAATATCGTGCAGATGGCTGAAGACACTTAAAGCCGTAAAAGAAAAAAAAAGAGACAACGTCGAGCAAAGCGGGCACAGAAAGACGGAGAGATCCCAGGACGGAACGGAGGAAACTTTGAAGGACGAGCGTGGAGAACGCCTGGAGAACAAATCATGGCGCGCTCCGCGAGATCCTAGCAGACACGGCTTCCGGGAAGAGTCATCGATCCGTGACGGAAGAGCAAGAAGGGGAAAAGAAACAGTTGACGGAGGCTCCGAACCTACCTCCGAAGACTCCGCGCTTCGTCATTTTCTCTAACTTCGCTCTTTCTCTTTCTCTCTCTCTCTTTCTCTCTTTCGTTCACGATTTCTTTTGCGGTGACAAATCGAATCGATTGCCGTTCCACTTCCTTGACTCGTCGACTCGAAGTCCTCGAAATGAACTTCGACTATCAACCTATTAATATTGAGATTCATTTCCGCTGTCGTAATAGTATAACGAGATTAATGGCTCCGCTCTGTATCATTCGATTACGATCGTTCACCGTTCGCGGTCTTTATCACGCTGCTAATCTTTTCGCTTGGATTTATTTTTCAACGTGTCTCTGTTGATGCGACACGTTAAATCGACAATGGACTCGAACGACGGAAGACTGTTCTCAATATTTAGAAAATATAGCGGCCTCTCGAGTAAAGTTTCAACAGTACGAGCGAGTTCTATTGACTGTGCGTTTTATCGATCTCGACTTTGCAAATCCTCATCGAGCATTATCGATAATTACCTTTCGCAATTTTTGTTATCGGAAATTCAGCGAATCGACCAAGACGAAATGGAAATTGTTTCAAGTTGTTTCCCTGGGCTTGTCTATCGGCTTGGTTTCTGTAAATGGCACTGGAAGAATTCACGGGGGATTTAAGCAACAGGCCCGTGGAGCTCCCGTGTCATACACAGCGTCCGGCCTCATCGCGCGATAAGCCCGGGAGAGAAATCATTCTCTTGTGTGTGCACGCTTATTCGCGGCACTAAAACCTCCACTCCGACGTCAGCTATCAGTTTATAAACATCAAACACGTATGTATTGGAACTTACACGGATCAAGCACCTTGCTCGAGAACGTCGTTCACTCCGTACGCCTACCATAAAGGTTCTGCCAATCACACGTAAGACAAGAGTCATATTTTATTTTCTCGCTCTTCCACTTCGACATGTACACACAATGCAATTCATAAAACAATACTCTACGTGCAATCTTTGTAGCTTTTTACAGCTTCTTTCTACATAAATTTGTGTAATATCTAATAGTTTTGTAATAATTAATAATTTTGTAATAACTATTAGCGTTCTAAAATGTGTGTGAAACTTTATAAGAAAACTATTTTTTTTTCAACAGATTATCTGATAATTTGTTAATATTCTTACACTTGATATTTCTCAAGAATTTACATAAAGATTACTCTAAAACTTTTTTTAATTTCAAACTCTCGACATTCTTAGCGTTTTCTTATTTTTGAAATTGTGATGTGATAAATTTGCTCACAGCTGAAATGTTTCTTCGTCCAACCATCACGACGAGCAGATTGCCCCTATTCTCTTTATTTCTCGCGAGCCGTGGAGGCGCCGTGAGTACACGTGGCAAGCAACCGCTTGGCAACGAGCAACGACCTCCTCCTGTGCGAGAACATACCGCAAAGCGTCGCGGATGAGAGTCACGGCGAGGCGCATTTGTCGGACGAAATGTTCGCTTCGTCGCGTCGAGACGGTGGCGACGACGACGACGACGACGACGAAGACGGGGTACGAAGAGAAGAGCGTAACGGAGAGACAGAAATAACCGGAAACGGACTTCGAGAAGGCAGAAGAAGAAAATGTCCATTAAAAAAAAGCCACGTCAAGGTCCTCAGGCAGATTCGCGACGCGGCTTAAGTCGTGTCACACACCACCTGTCGCGCGACCAAGGCAGGTAAATGCGCGCTCTCTATCATCATCGCTCAGGAAACTTCGCGGAAAAAAGCGGAGAGAACTCCGTGAAAGCTTCTTCGTTTGTGTTTTGTAAACGGTATATTTCGAATAAAAGTAGCGCGAAGAAATTTTTGGTCAAAATTTTACACCAAACTTATTTTTATTGCGATAACTGGTATCAATTTCATTCTATAGATTATTACAATATTTAGTCTTGGTATATTTTTAGAAATTTTACTATGTTATATTACATAAATGTTTTTACAAAAATATATTTAAATTTGCGTACGCGAAATTAAGCTTCAATAACTAACAATGTTAACATTTAACATTTACAGTTTTTTTTTTTTATTAAACTCGTCACATTTTCAATTGAAACAATTACCGAGAAAACAATACACTTGACTGAAGGGATGTGATCCTGCATTATAGACATGTACGAGAAACAATCGGTGGATTCGACGAAGAGCAAATCGTAATACCAGCATTTGATTACCTGTTGCGTCACACCTGTTGCTGCACGTACGCGTACCACGTGACGTTAGCGACCGTGAAAAGATTTTTGCGATTGTTTCCGCGCGCTACACTATATAGTCACTGTATAGCGTCTAGATATATTAATTCACAAATGAAGCATATGATTATAAATTATTCCGAGATATTTTAGAAAAGATCTTCAAGGTTAAAAATTTATGCTCTCAAAGGACACACTTGACAACAGTATTTTTACTCACGAAATGTTAGGTAAATAAAACTATCTACAAACTATCTACAAACGAACAAAACAACAAAACAATTATTTTGTGTTACATAAAAAGATTTAAGTGACAAGGAGAAGGTAAATAAGTTAATCGGAGAACGTGTCTAGAATACGGCTACGTTTTCCGGTTCCTTCGCATGTTTTTAGACGGTAGAGAGGAAGTAGCGACGCGGATTTCTAAACACGGCGCCGCGCTGCTTATGCAACTGAACGTGACGTTTCAATTCGTAGGTTTCCAGCCGGAGAAATGAATATTTGCGATCTCCGATGTCCGATAAAACACCTCGTGGTTCGATCGTGCTCACGTCCTCCCAGGAATCTCTCTCGGATCTCATTGTTTGTGGGCAGCAGGGCAGAAAGCGGCGCTTCCGGTTTCAGGTTGAGTTGCACGACGAACGGTCAGACGAACGAACGGACGAACGGACAGGCCTGGTTGCATCCTGGCCTCCCCAGGTAAGCACCTGCGCCATGTTGAGCGTGATATAAACGGACTGGAAAAAAGAAAATCACGCAACGTCTGCGTCAAAACTTCTTCGTGTTTTTTCTTCTCGCACTTGGTATCTCCGTACTCAGCTCACGTTTTTCTTAAATAAACAATTGTTCTGATATTTTCACCCGATTGTACAACTTCTCTATCACGAAAACTTGTTTGCTTCTCATTCATAATTCATAACACCGCGAGATTTCACCCCGGGATTAATGTATAATTAACGGCGGCGTGCATAATTAATAACATACGAATGAGATTCCGAGGCATTGTGCGCATCTCCTCCGAGCACAAATCATCTTGCGCGAGCGAGGAAGCGCGACCCGTGTGCGTGCACATAACAGCGTTATTACTTTGTGTTCTTTTTTTTTTTAGCGCCCTGCGGAAAATTGTCGTACACAAGCAACGGAAAGTGGATAAGTCGACCCACGGAACCGGAAGTCGCCGTGGGATCGCCCGCGTTGGAGGCTTGAAAACACATCATCGTGCTACCTGGGAACCGCCGATTAGCTACACGCGCGCGTATATTTTTCGCCTGTCTCGTGTGCGTTATGCGCCTGTACGTATGTGTGTGTGTGTGTGTGTGTGTGCACGCGCGCGCAAAAAACAGTTGTCACGACATTTACACACGCGCGTACATACATACATACACACACACACACACACACATATGAGCACACGCGTGACAAATGCCAGAGAGCACGCGACACACAAGCGTTTAAGCGGCAGATAAACCTCGAGATTTCTTACAACTAAGCAGAAATTTATTTAATCGTGAGAAAATAAAAAAAATGATCGCTATTCAGCAAATCCATTGAAAAGCGTCTTGTAACTCTGAGTAAAAAGTTCCTGGGAATGGAGATTGCTCGAATCATTACGTTATTGCTATGTGTTTCAACGTTTTCGCACAGACACATGTAAGCAGGAAATAAAAGGATTTTATCTGTACACGTACGTCACGTGCACGTACGATGTATGTACACTTTGACATTAAACATCACCGCAAGGTAGGTTGATGACTCATGCCGATCATTGTGCCGCTGTGGAAAATTGTTAGCTCCGTAACCATGTATCGAGAAAAAGCATATGAGGCGAAGCCTACAAACTCTCTTTGCGACACACGTCGCTTCTTCGAACGGTCGACATAATGAAAGTGGTCGAGAAGACGTCAAAATCTGAGGTCAAAATCTAATGAGACGCGATTAATCAGCGCCTCGCGACATTCAGCAAATTGGGCGCTACTTAGACGGGACGTTTGGCAAATATATGTAATCGCGAAATGAACAATGAGCACGAAATGAATGAGGCAATTTTGCGATAACGTGTTTTGCGCTGACATTCATCTTACGGGTTTCTAGGTTGCCGTCACGAATTTGATTCACATCCAAAAATCGTGGGCGACGCTGACGTCACACTGAGACCACCGATTTCCCGACTCCGCATCCTTGAAGAATAGATACGGGCACTTCTCTCTCTTTCTCTCTCTCTTTCTCTCTCTCTCTCTGGCGGTCCCACATCGACGTTTTACGACATCTTGCTCGTCGCGGAATCGCGTGATGTTCGAGATATGTATTGCGGAGCCAGAAGAAGCATTGTCTGTATATGCACGGTAGAAACAACGATGATGACGATGTCGAGTTTACATTTAGACGGTATTTTAAAGTGTAGTGCCACGTGTTATTGCCGATGTGGTAAAATATTGTCTTCTAATTGAAATTTACGAGTCACGTAGCGTAACATCTGACTGTTCACAACAAGATGCGACTCGCGATTCAACTCACTAATGAGGATTCTTTATCCGACGCAATTGATAAATAAATCAATTGTTCAGCTCGATAAACTTTTTAGAGAGAAGGTAAAGAAATACAAACATGCGTTCTCGACATTTATTGCTTCACAAATTAGAAGAAGAGTTAGAAATATTTACGATGGACAGAACAAATGTCGTAGCTGAGGTAAAAAACAAACTGTAAATTATAAAACCATCTTCCTGTACTTAAGTGATCATTGTCTTAGTTTAAATCACACTTGTGTATTTTTACGAAACGTCGATTAAGTTGAACCGAGTTTTTTGATAGCCAAACCGTATCTCTAATGTGTATGTATTGTTTTGCGAGTTATCGATCTTCGACCGTCGCCGTCATCGCTAATATTGACTTAACGTTGAAAATCAGAGCTTCGCAACAAATATATCGATCGCGACAGCGGCGGATTCGGCGGACGGGTTAGTTTCGCGTCCACAAATTGACATTAAAAGCGTGTCTGTCTGGCGAACCAATTTATTTCTCGAGATAACGTAAACATCGTCACTAGCTGATGTATAACCGCAGCCATTCAATATTGATGCTCCTGTTCGAATTTTAATGGCGTGATAATAAAAAAAAAAAAAAAAAAAAAAAANANNACCGGCTGCTTCTGCCAAAGTGCAGCTTCTCGTTAAAAATACAGCGAATGTTGATGCTGTCGACGCACGTTACTGAAAATTTTATAAACTCTTTTCTTCTTTACGCGGCGTTATGTATATTAATAAAGTTTTCGCGCAGAATATTTCAGCAAGCGAATTGTCTAAACCGGTTGACCGGTTGCGTATATATGTATTTATAATTTTTTCTCGCGTTTTTTCATTAAATAATCGATGACTGAACAATTTTACATAATCGAACATCGACAAAAGGCAGTAACGTACGTTCCACTTGCGCAAAGAGAACAAATTATCGAACGCAAACATATCGTATCGCTGTCTCTTACACGCAGCTGTTTCACGTACGAAATCGGTATATATGTATAATTATTAAGGCTTATACTTGTCTTGGCATCAGATGACATCGCACGACAGTGTGTTTCCCGGAAACTATTATTTTTAGTCGGGTCGCTAATCACATCGCGTGCGTTACGGAAGCTGGCGTCGAGACAGCGATACGAGATTACACGATATTGTAGCGTTTCTCCAAACTTTTACACAAATATCAAGAAAGCGTTCTGTGCGGCGGTAACAAACTTAAAAACAGGTGCATGTTAATAATTTATTTTGCGAGCTGACGCAATGTGACACACACACAGCGCGTTTACAGCTAGATAGACGTTGCACCTTGTTACGTAACAATTGCGGAGATGCTGACGTTGAACGCTGGATCACGAAACGCAATCTAAGTTCAGGTATACATGATATAGCAAAAGAACACGATCATGAAGGGGGCGCGAAATGATAATTCGCTTTGCATCCTGCAGATAATTTTTCACGATCCCGAATGTTATTAGTGAAATGAAGAATCGCGAGTTTACATTGCCGGTTGTTAAAACAACACGATTTTTTTTTTTACCGATAAAATTCTCGGCGAGAAATCTACACGCCGTCTCTCGCGAATCGAGAGCGCATGGCGATAAATATAAAAGCGCGATTATAAAGCCACGATTTATGGGGGCTCGCTGGTGGAGTGAGACCTGATAGGTGTCGTCAGTCATCGCGACTTCGAGCGTCGGTGGCAAAATGCATCTGGACGATCGCCAAATTCAAAAATAAGTCGAATTTCGAAGGAATCGCCCGATCGTCAGACCGCCTCGTTATACGGATCGTTTTTCCAACGGCGTATATATTTGATTTACGAAACAAGTCGGTCTACGAGACAACACGAGGATATCCGTCGCACAAAATGATCCGCAATACAATATATCTACAGCGGATTTTTCGCTTATTGCTGTATCTGTAAGTCACACTGATAAGAGACTTCCACCTAGTTTTTCAGAGAGGCCGGCGATCTCTCCCCGCGATGAACGTGGCGATAAAAATGTTGAGACACACTCATCGCTGGATGAATCATCAAATGGATTTTAGACGCATTAAACTCACCCAAAGGGAGTGCGAATTAATCTCCGAGATTATATATATAATCTACAGTAAATCTCGATAAAAAAAAAAGCAACCCTCTGTATTTATGGAGTTGACGCAATTCGTTTTTTTTTTTTAATATTTTATTCGAGCGCGCGCTCATCTAAACGCAAAGTCAAACAAATTTAAAGCGAACGTTTTTATCAGTCACAATATTTTCAAAGATTTCTTTTTTTTTTTTTTTATCGAAGCGTGCTTTTATCTCTCGGAGCGGAGCCAATCTTCCGGGATTGATCGCGGTTCCTATAAATCTTGGCAACTCAGAGGTGGTACAGACGTGATGTTCAGTGAGAGTACGCGCGAGAGAAGTGGGAGCGAATAGGGGATGGGGAGTCAAAGGAAAAAGAGAGGGGGTAACAGAAGGATAGACAGCCTTTTGAGATCCCTCGGTTACCAGTTTAGTTCTGGTTGGCATTCGAGCGCATGCTGTGCACGGTCCAAGGATAGCACAATAATCTTTAATCAGGAGTTTTGACGAGTCACCGTTTCATCGATCAATCTGATAAACATTAATATAGAAAAAAAAAAAAAAAAAACGTATTTTGCGCTTCAGTACAAACTTTTGCTGCTAAAAATCTAAGTTTCTGGTGTTTTACGTGGTGCAGTTTGACGTTTCTCTCGGAAAAACAATTTTAACAACTATGGCATTTACGCACGTGCACCGCTCAGTCGCTACACGTCAGCGTTAATTGATGTGTTGTCTCTATATCGCAAATTAAAAAAAAAAAAAAAATTACAATCTGCAGTGCGATACAAGTTGAACTTTTACAACCAAGACTAACGAGCTCGGTCAACAAAGCCGCCAGGTACATGTCAGAAATTACGAAGTGAACGGTAGAGGTTGTCTGATTGCAAATAACCAGTCTCGCACGGATAGTCTCGAAGCGAGGAAATCGCAGTGACATTCGCGTGACACGTTCACAATTACGCACGAATGAACGAATACAACTCATATGTATATATGTATTTTTTTTTTTTTTTTTTTTCTAGAGGAGCAAGCACGACAGGCTCGATTCGATAATATTTGTCGATAAAGTCGATCTATCTAGCGTGTTGCGGCGCACGTGGAAACGCGGAAAGCAGACTTGTTTTCTGCGTTCGCGTGTTTTTTTATTGCAACACGCACTTGATAAATGACACTTGTGAAATTCACACGAATACACACAGTTTCACCGTTTGAAACGAAGTTGGAGGGAAGGAAGTTCGTTGACAAGATTCGTAACGATCCGTTCTCAGGTACACTTTGCTACCTGAAAGGTAATATTCCCCCTCTTCTCATTCTCCGACTGAGTCATACACACGAAAACCACCACATACACAATCACCATCATACATACAGACATATCCTATTCTAACCTGAGGTAGACTGCGAAAAGAAGTAGTTACACGACTTTGATCTAAGTTGTCATATGAGATTTTTTCTCGCTTACACTGGTCGTTATCAAGAACTAACGAGTCGAGAAGCTGCTTCGGAAAATCCACGTTTGAGCAGAGGTCAAGAAGAGCAGATATGAGAGCGAGTCGTCGTCGGTACGCAGTCTAAGAATATCACGGTGTGTAGATCGTTGAACTGTAGAGGCTTCCTTTCTTCTTTCCGCGTGTCGAGGTGCTCGCAAGAAATAAATCAGAAACTTTCTCTGACGACGCGTTCTACTCGGCAGTACTACGTAAACGATGTCGGGGGACACCACGTCCGATGACGAGGGATCGCAGGAGGATTCACCGCGATACGACGTTGATGACTTGGAAATTATTAAAACTATCGGTAAGTTTGGATATAATTGCTAGTAAGATATCAAGTATTTATAAGTTGTTTATATTAAAAGCGCACGCGCGTGCACATACACAAACGTATAAAGTTTCTTTGTTTTATATTATCGACGATCATATAACTCACAGGTGGTGAGTTACGAGCAACGTGTGTGATGAAAGCTTCTTTATTGTTTTGTTTGCTTCGGAAAAAAACGTGTTTCTGTTTTTTCAACCATTATATTAATCTTAATTTGTTGTTTGTATAGATATGTACACATATATATTTAATATTGTTTTTGTGTCTTTTTTTAATTGATTTTTTTACTAACTTTTTTATATTTCTAATTATTTATTCAATCACTTTGTCTTTACAACTAATAAAGTTTTCGGTTATTAATTTAAAACAATCTGTTATTGAATTTTAATAAAAATTTCACTAAAATAAAACATTTGAGATTTTTATCGCTTGCTGAAAGACCTTTTCATTACAATAGAAATAATATTTTTGACAAGTTTTAAATGAGAGAACAAGCAAGAAAAAGAAAAAAGTACCGTTCACGACTTAAGGAAGTGGGGCACCAGAGAGTGAGAGGGTATCGAGTGTATATTTAACTTCTGTTAAAGCCGGAATTATATGTGGGAGAGTAGTTCTGTAAATTGCAGGTGCTCGCTTCGTGTGATTTCTTCTCTTCTTTTCTTTTTCTTTTTAATTTTAGTCTGAATAATTTCGTATTCTCGGAACAGAGAGATAACGAACATTTGTTCGAAGAAATGTCCTAAAAGTCTTACAACATTCGTCTTTTAAACGTGTTCTGAATTTTTTTGTATCGTTCAAAGCAATTTTTGCTTTGAAAATCGCTCGGGCAATGTTGCGCCGAAATTCGCGTTAGTCGCACGAGTATTTAAAGCGTTCACGCCATCACCGGAAGCGCTTCGTCGTTTTACCGTTGACACCTGTTCCGAGCCGTCGTTGGCAGCGATTCTTGTCGTAGGTAGACGACGCTTATATATCGCGCCGCGCTCTCTCGCGACCAATTTCGTCGCCGTTCTACGCTTTCGACGTGTATATATATATATAGGTATGTGCTCATAAATAATGCAAAACCTACTGGGAAAAGCAATGCAGCGGTCAATTCGGGGTTTAATTTGGCCAGGGCTCATTGCACGCGCGCGCACTAATTGGTCACGGTACGTTAATCTGAATAACCGAGTCACCTGCATTCGTGGGAAAGTGCATTAAACAGACCGCGTCACGCAACAAGCATCAGATTAAAAGAACGTTGACGAGCAATTAACCGTCACTTTAATGATCGAGGTTCTATTATGCGATACATTCTGCGACGACAAGTAACTTTTTTGTTATTCATGAGACTTATGCTGTATTTCGCAATGTCGACGTAGCATTATCTCGCACAAAAAAAACATTTAATAAAATTTAATTATTTTGTTTGAGCGACAAAAAATTATGATGAAAAAATATTGAAAAATATTGAAATTTAATATTTACAAAAATTTAATCGCGCTGATCTAAAAGATCCATTGTGATTTTCAGGTACAGGCACATTCGGCAGAGTAGTTCTCTGCAGACATCACGGCACGTTCCTCGCATTGAAAATCCTTTCTATGGTCGACGTAATCAGATTAAAGCAAGTCGAGCACTTACGAAATGAAATTACGATTCTCAAAGAAGTTAAACATCCTTTTATCGTTAACATGTAAGTAACTTTTGCGGTCGCTCATCGAGCGTTTTTTCTGTATTTACGAACAGCTTAAAGCTTCGTTGACGAGTGTACGGACATAACGTATTTACATATGTGTTCGTCAATGAAAATCAAACACAGTTGTATTGATTAGCAGTATTTACCACACACAAATGAATGTAAAATTATTTGCAACAATTCGCGATTTGTAAATTATTTACAACGATATATACATACAATCGATTTACATACATGTATATATTGTATAACTCTCTTGAATGCGACATAATTAACTGAACAAGTAAAGAAAGTGATGCGTTTGTCGGTCGAAGAAAGGATTCTTCACGCGACGATTATTAGACAAAAAGCGCAAACAGAATTATAAGGAAAGTGATACGCGTAAAATACCTGCTTGACTAGTTTTGCGTTGTGACAAGAGAAATCGATCGCGAGAAAAGCGTTTTTCTAGTGAGGAGGGAGTGCGAAATCGAAATTCGTTCGCGTATAATTCGCAACACACGATTGGTTTGCTGATTTTTCTCGTCTTTTCAGGCTATGGAGCGGCCGAGATGAAGCCAGAGTGTACATGCTGCTGGAGTTTGTCGCCGGTGGAGAACTCTTTTCTTACCTGAGATCGGCCGGAAGATTTGCCGGACCGACAAGCTGCTTTTACGCCGCCGAAATAGTCTGTGCACTTGATTACTTGCATAGCAAACATATAGTTTACAGGGATCTCAAGCCAGAGAATCTTCTCCTGGACAGTCAAGGCCATCTGAAAATCACCGACTTCGGCTTTTCTAAGAAACTCACAGACAGGTAATTTCGAAAGAAAATGCTGTAATCATACATATAGATTCTATCTTCTATCTAGAAGATATTTACACAAATATCATGTGAGATTTATATGTTTATGCGCCTATTAAACTCGCGGTATAATTATAAACTAAGTAGTAGTTTCTCATATATGATGTACCAAATAAAAAAAAGAGAATAGAACACTTCATTGATTGCTCTCACACGATAACATTGCACTATTCGTTATGCAATAAAAAAGAAAATATTTTTTTGTTTCTTATTGCGCATCTCCTAGACGAAACTATCTTCTACATCGCGATTAAAATGTTATCTAGTGTAACGTGTGATCTTATCTTTACTTCTCTCATTGGACTTTACTTTTTGTAAAGCTCAGATCTTGCTTGTTTAAAGAGACACGTGTATTATCGTGCAATTAGTCAAGCCCCACTTGTTACTTCGTGTCAGCTCGTCACAATAAAATAACTTGCGACAACGTGGCTATAATTAACACGTAAACAATTTTAGAACATGGACGTTGTGTGGCACGCCAGAATACTTGGCGCCAGAAATAATTCAAAGCAAAGGACACAACAAAGCCGTGGACTGGTGGGCGTTGGGTGTCCTGATCTATGAGATGCTGGCGGGATATCCGCCGTTCTTCGACGACAATCCCTTCGGTATCTACGAGAAGATCCTGAGCGGCAGAATAGAATGGCCGAAGCACATGGATCCTATCGCGAAGGACCTGATTAAGAAATTACTGGTAGCCGATAGAACGAAGAGACTGGGGAACATGAGGCAGGGCGCCGAAGATGTCAAAAGGCACCGATGGTTCAAACTGGTCGAGTGGCCTCTGGTAAATTTTGCGCGCATTTTTAATTTAATTAAATTCGCGTGAGATATTACGTAGAATACATGAGTAACTGTTGAAAAGATAACAGAAGATCCCGAAGATTTAATATTCAATAAATGTTATCGCGCGCATATCTCTATATTTCGTGTTCCGCGACGCAGCAACAGTTAAACGATCGATCAATGTCCGCAGGTACCGCAAAAAGCCTTGACACCACCGATAAGGCCACGTGTGAAAACGCCGGGTGACGCCAGCTGCTTCGACGACTATCCCGAGACCGACTGGCGTTCACAACCACCTTTGCCGCCGGATCAATTAGCTTTGTTCCAAGATTTTTGACAGCTAATGTCGCGAGTTTACCGAGGAAACTTTTATACATGAAAGAACTTTGCTCTTTGTGACGCAGAAACGTACGTGATCGCGTAATTTGACAATACGTCGTGTGTTTAATTTTCCATCGTTACGTATATCTGTACATATAGGTAACTTTTTATATGTATTTTACTGCGAATACTATTTATTTGTACGTGCAGTCTAGGCTAGGCGTTCTTTTTCATTTTTGTTTTTGTGAACTTCTGTAAATAAAAAAAAAAACACAAGAATTGAAAGAAGAAATTTTATTAATTCAAATAACTTTTATTAATTGTTGTTTATATTAAAAAATTGGAAAGTTAGATCTTTTATCGATAGATATATTGTTGCGATGCGATTCAAATCGTATCGTTATTAGCAAAATATCGATTCTTATGTTCATCCGGCAATCGTCGTGGCAAGTAGATTTTGTTTAACGCACACTGCGTTATTATCTGATAAACAGAATATTACAAGTGATTTACCGTCATCTATTTCATTTATTTTGCAAAACGTGGTAAATAATTTAAAGTGAGCCTTGGCACGCGACATTTGCATGTCTGATCTTTACCGCGCGATAAAAATCAACATGATTCTGTCCAAACCACAGTATAAAGCAATTCTACGTAGAAGTAACATTGTTGGTACGTCAAACAATAGTTTTACGTGAAGTACTTTGCGAAAATAGCGAAAAGAAATTGACAAAGCGCACTTTCCGAGAGCTCTCCGAATTGTTTGCATCATGATGCCAAATATTTTGCAGAAGAAACAAACAGTGAAGAGAATCGTAGTGAACCGCGTAGAAATCCCAAAGAAGATAAGCAAGGAAAAGTTATTCAACCGCGATAAATCACGTGATGTGCGATCAGAAAGTAGAATAATAAAAATTGTTCGTAAGCTTGTGCAAGAATATCTACAAGATACTTCGATACATGGTTTGAAATATCTCGGCAAAATACGAATAAAATCTACTATTATCGGCAAACTCTTCTGGGGATTAATTATGATCTGCAGTTTTGTGTGTGGGTAAAACACATATATGTCTATTTAAACTTTCGTATAAATATAATATCATTATACAATATTTTTATATATTTATATATACACACATATATATATATTTAAAATTATGTGTATATATATATATTTTTATATTTATATTTTATGTACATATATATTTCTCTCATTTCTATCTATTAAGAGAGATACGTTACATAATACTGTAATGACGATACGTACATTAAAAGTTTTTTACGTTGTGTGCAAATGCGCTCTTTTGATATAATTTCCTCAGTCTTATCTTGGATGCTCTGGAAATTCTGGATACGGTACTCTGCTAATCCAACCCGCACCGTGGTCGACACTTTTCAAGCTCCGATATTCATAGTTCCTTTTCCCGCCGTAACTCTCTGTCCTCTGATACAGCCGTTGAAGGCAAGACGTGATGAGTTATTGCGACGTTTGCGTTTGCCGCACAACATGAGTAACCACACAGCAGCTTTCTTGCTTAAGTATGTGCGTTAATTTTTTTTTTCATAAAAACTGCAATTTTGTATGAAAACAATCGAGTTTTAAGTTTTTAACAATACAACGTTACGAAATTTCTCTTAGATATGGGACAGCGTTTACGAGTGAACACGTGCCCGCTGGCAAGTATTACGTGAACGACTTGAAGGCGCTGTTAAAACTGAACCACATAAACTTAGTGGAGTTCATACAACTTCTGCGGCCATGCGAAGACATGTTCGAAATTTGTTACTGGGACAATGTCAAAACAAATTGCAGTGAAATATTCAAAATATCGTACACCTTTCAAGGTGTTTGTTGCTCGTTCAACTATCTTCTTGAAGATCTTATTGAAAGTGGCAACAGGTATTGAAATGTTTGTTTAATTTGTGCTCGAGTAATCAATTTTTTCTCACGTTTTTATTTCGGAAATCGAATCAGGAGTAAGTACGACACTGGTTATCGAAGATCCGCTTTGTTCGGCGCGAGATCGGGTCTTACAGTTATTCTACACAAGGATTTGTTAGTGACAAATGACAGTCTGGGAGAAAACATCAGATTTGCAACAAATTCCGTCGGTATTGTGGTGTGTACAATTGAGTAAATTTGTAACATTTTGACACGTCATGTGAATAAAAATAAAGACATATATATTCTTTTTTTCCTACAAAATAGATGTTTGCTCATCATCCTCTGGAGTACGTCGGCAGCATATCCCCCAGACAAATTCTACAAGCTCAACAAGAATTACGGGTGATTTTAATGTTTTTCATATATGTATACATATGTAGAGAGAGAGAAAGATTTTTTCAATATTGATATTGTAAAAAAAAAAATATTTGAGTTCTCTTAATAACAAGTAACTGTTGTGTAATATCTGACTGCTTCCTGTGATTTTTATTCGACAGGTTTCTATAACACCGCTTGTCAAAAAGAAGCTCGACAATTATTATCAAGTCGACAAAACTACCGGCAGATCAGTTCCGCATTGCATAAACGACACTACGTTTCTGAAGTATTTCCCTTCGTATCGGTATCCGAACTGCTTTGTCAGCTGTTCCATCGACGCTACTGTCAAAATCTGCGGTTGCGTGCCATATTACTACGTGCCCATGGCAAAGAAATATTCTTTAAGAGTAATTTGAAATTTTTCTAGAAATTATTTTTTTTCGCATTACGTCATATATTCGCTACAGCTGCACAACATGTTCAGTTCTATATATCTCGCATGCCCTGACAGCTTTGCGAATGGGAGGATTTCGGGTGTCTTTACGACAACATGAAGTACATACGCATCATCAAGAACTTCAAAACGGATAACTTTACGTGCGACTGTCAGAATCCATGCTGGGATATATTTTACGAGATACAAACTTCCTCGATCGTGTTAAACGGTAGACATAACTTCAATGTCTCCCCCTTTTAGTGAGTTGAAACAAAGCTGCGACGTTGCTTAAAACACGCTTACACATGTACGCATGTTAATTTATACGTACGTATTTATTCTAGTAAAAATATTACGGACGATCAAGCTGTTCTAAGAGTGTTTCTAAGTTCCGAGACTTACATCGAAATGAGTACAATTCCGATGGCAGATGAATTATATCTATTAGGTAAATTATATATTGTTCTTCTTTTTTATGTATAAATATGTTTTTTTCTGTTTTTAAAAAATTTTTTTCTTAGTAAAAAAAATTAATAAAATCAACCTTTCAGCATCCATAGGAGGCATATTCAGTCTTTTCGTCGGATGCAGCTTCATAAGCGCTATCGAAATTTTTTATTTTTTGTTCATATTTTTTCGTTCTTATACCAATTCCAAGAAATCAAAATAATCAAGCCGAAGTTTCATCAACGAAGAGTACCAGGCATCGTATACCTACGCAATAACATTAGGTAACACGTTTATCGTCGTAAAGCTCGCTAAGTGAGCGGTTCGATCGTATTTTCGTCGAAAAGGTAATTGCGCGCGAAATAACCGCTAATGTTACACGCACAGACATTACGCACATCCTTTTTCGAGACGCACCGGGTGTTACGAGCGCCGCATCATCACGCGAAACTGGAACGATTAGATCTATTTCGGGCGGGTTACTGGAGCTGCTCGTAACCGCTTTGAGTTCATGCCCGTGAAAATATTTTACTACGACAAGAGTGTCCTACAATTCGCGCGAGCTTTTGGAGCTTTCAAAATGAGAACGTTAAAATGAATGATTTACAGCCCCGCTTTCGGTCTCTCCCTCTCTCTCTCTCTCTCTCTCTCTCTGCTTTCAAGGCATCGTCGTCCGATTGATTATGTAATGTCACTTTGTATACGTCAAAATTTTAATGTTTTTAATGTGCACGCACACCTGTTCTTTAATATTGGAAGCAAAACGTAGAAGAGAAATACATACATATGCTCGAAAATAGTAACGTGCGAATATAACGAGTATTTTCAATACGGTCAAGTTCGGAGATGTGTTGAAGATTTTTGAGACGCAGAATTCAAAACACTCGATCTTCCGAAGACCAATATACTTTGACTAGTTTCGCGACAAAAAAAATGAGACGTATAAACATAAATAAGACGGCAGAAAAGAATCGAATATATTTCGTAAAGAATGCGAAAGTGGATATTTATATCTCAAGAGTTTTATGAATAAAACAAGAGCGAAGTAATTCGATACTTGAGAGCCACGCAGCCTTTAGGAATCTCTGGGTCTTATGTAATAAACTTGAAAAACTTTTAATATAACGCGAGGTTTTAATTGCCGTTTAATATTGAAATGCGTACTATTCATGTCGGTTATTTTCGTGAACGTCATTGAAAATATCGACTTAATTCTATATACGCGAACTTCGAGAGCTGGAAGTGCCGACTATTTTTGGAGAAACGCCCACACGTCACGGCCATACTACGTCCATGTTGTTCAGAGTTTACTTTTCTATTTGCTGCGCGTGAAACTTGAACTTTGCGTTGGAATTCACATTCTATAATTAATCTATAATTAATCTGTAATTCAATTTTTTTTATTTTACGCAGATATTGTGTTTCGAATATACGTGAAAGCGCGCAGCTTTGTTTTGGAACAAAAATGTGAACATCACAGTAAAATTATCGACATTTCGCGAACAAAAACATTTATTATATTGCTCGTGAGAAAGAGATACTTATAAAACAAAGATGTAAAAGATGTAAAACAGTTTCAAGAAATTATTTATGTACACTGAAGTAGAATCGATAGAAATACATCCGATAGAAACGTACGAGAAAAACTTGACGCATTTATTTCGACAACTTTAAATGAGCACAGTTGAATGACAATGATGTAGAAAATGCTCGTGAGATAATAAATATTGCTTTAATTGTTTTAAAATGTCCATTATTGAATAATAACGTGTATAAGAACGTGTGTATTAGTCAATGTGATATAGATGGTATAAGTTATATTTTTAACAGATAGCCGATTTTTTTACGACGAAATTCGAAACGAAATAATAGGAGATTAACTTTTATAAAAATTCTGTCTATTTATCCTGTGAACATATTGCAAGATAATTTTTGCCGCGGAAATTGATTACTAAACGATCAAAGCAATTTAAACATGTCTCTAGACATCTATAAGTAATGACGGGAAGCGGTGAGCTTGGAACAAGGTGTCCATGTCGATCTTGGTTCCTCTGGATGCATCTTTTCGACACGTGTCTGCTCTGTTTTTCAACCCTAAAATATGTGTTGCATGTAATTCAATATATTAAGTACAAATTGAAATATAAATTTAGTTTTTTTTAATATTAAGTCAAGTTGTTGTGATATTTCATTTGTAGTTTATTGATTATAATATTACAGATAAGATAAAAAAAAAGATAAATGTCAAGACATGATGAATAATATACAATAAAATTATATATAATAGAACTGCATTTCATATTGTATTCGAAGAGTTTATAGTGATTGATATGACAATTTCTTTTTGTCTCTAGTTTTATTATTAACTTATAACGTTATACGATTTTGTAGTTAGCGCGCCTACAATTGATTTATAATTCAGATAATGAAGTAAAAATTGAGAAATAATCAAGTATGTGCATTATTATAATATAATATATATAATATTGTATATATATAATATAATATAAATAATATTGTGTAAAAGAAAATAGTAATTAACTTTATACAAAGAGAAGTAAAAGAAACTAAACTTAAAATACATCCGATGATAAACGTAACTCACCATGTGGCAAGGAATGTCTGCTCTGTTTAGAAAAACACTCCTGAGTACAAAACCCAAAGTGAAATTAGAAGAAGAATAAGGATAAAATATGTCATCAGAATGTTCTTGGTCTCGTGGGCAGCTTGTGGCATTTTTGATCGATGTAAATAGCGCACTCTGTGTTGTTACATACAAATTTTATCACTAAACACACTTTATTGTTGACCGATATTAATTTTTTGCTTTGATTTCTTGAAAATTAATATAAAATCAAAAGATGTACATAAATTAAAAATAATTTCTATTATTAATATAAATTTATTTTACTACTTATTGCTTATTGTAAGCGAGAATGAGATTGATTTTCATCTGAGAAATAACGACGATACTCACGGCTTGAGTTACCACGAACTAATTGCAAACGTATTTGAATCTTGCCGCGTTCTATTATATCTGCCGCTCTGAATTATTTTAAATTACGAGAGTTTATGAAAACACTTTTATATATCTTCGAGGTCTATAAAAATTAGACGTTCCTCGCAACTTTACGTGCGGTCGTAGACTAGATCGCGCGGCGCAGGATCCGCGCGCACGAACCCCCTTGTGATCCCGAAATTCCTCCAGGAATCGCATCATCATCCCCCCTCCCGTTGGTTTGCACGTACAAACCGTGGTCGCATCTTTACGCGTAAAAACATTTTCTGCTCCAGGATTGGTAGAAGACGAGATCCCACCAGACGGTTGATGTTGACTCGGACAGCACCGCGAGTTTTCGCTACCTCGGAGTTATATTAAGGCATTATGGATGTTAGCGTGTGTTTAACTTCCTGGGTTAAAACGCAGCTCGATCGGCTCCCGGGAGGTAACCCCGATCACAGACAGACGCGACAGGTATCGACCAGCGCGCTCGAGATCATTGCGAAATTAAATACGCGCCGGTCCATTAGGCGCAATTAGAAAATTGCAGAAGATGTGCGGTGTGTTATTCTGAAACACGTTTGCGCCGGAATGACTGCCAGAACTGTTGCGCGCGATTAAGCTTTCACTCTTCGGCCGATGTGTGCCAATATAGAAGACTGTCCATCATTTTCGAGCTCTCGTCTATATTTAAACGCGTTTAAGCCAAACATCACTCCTCGATACATAATGTACGGACGGACACCTCTCTCTCCAGCCGCAACTCCAGTCTTGTAATTGCGTAACATGGAAAAACACGGTAATACAGGTACCTCTACTTCGCTAATTTACGAACTGTACAATGAAGGCGCAGAAATATTGTTCGCAGTACCGGATTTAGAATCAAGAACGCGAAAATTGTTTTTTGAGTGAAAGAGAACGTATCAATTATATATATATATATTTTTAATTTACTGACTCTTTTCTCCCGACTTCTAATTTCAATTACTAAATAATATCGATAAGAATTTTAAAATCAGAGACTTGGATCTATCGTTGAATTGCTTATATAGCTGACCAATCAATTAGCAAACTTAATTGAATAATTATTATATTTATTGCAACACTGTAATATACACTGCGTATACATAATATGTACATATCTTTCTATAATTAATCATTCATTAGTTTGTGGTAACTACATAGTTCCTCATCTTTCCGCATAAAAAGATAGAAAAATAAAAAAATAAACGTAGGTACAGTCTCTTAAACAAATAATTACATCGCATGTATATGGCTGTGTTCGAAACAGTGACTTCGAGCACGATATGACACGAGAATATATTTCGCGTTACGAAAATAGTGAAGGAAAACCTTTTATTAACGAATTAACTCATGCATACTTAAGCGAAATACGCGTATAACCATAGAGAACATGATCGTAAGACGAAGTTTTGTCTTATAAACTGTGGTTCTTACGTAGTACGTAGTTGTCTCATGCGACTCTCTTTTGCGAAACTCGACGTGCAAGAAGCCCAACAGTGATTTCTTAACACAAGGAAAATTACACCGAATTCTCTTTTTTAAATTTGTTTTAATATTCCTAAATTTTTTTCTTTTGGCACAAAGCTCCGCTATATGCATTTAAAAAAATAATTTCGTCACATCTCTACATTTTACACGATCAAGTGACTCATTAGCTCGTGGTTTAATACATAGACATTTTTTATACACGCGTAATAAAGTGTAACAATATATAATTAAAAATTATTGAGGTAGTATGCAATTTTCTTTATACACAAAACAGTTTTCACAAAATTGTGGAAACAATGCTCGAAAGAATCGGATGTTGAAATCGAAATCCGAAATATAACAGAAAACGTACGGAAATCGTCTTACGTATACGCATTCATAAAATGCGACATCTCATTCTGAGCTATCTTGCGTTACATCGACTTTCGACAGACGAGAAACTCTCGCACACGTAATCTTATCCAGTACTTGTATCACATGTGTAATATATATACGTTCTATTCGTATTAAAGATAGCTACTCAAGCCAAAGAGAATCCCAGCACGTCCTCCAACGAGTAGTCAAACAGTCTTAAGTCTAATTTGTACAAATCCGCCAGCTTGCGAAGCTGCTTGTAGCTCAGAGTAGAGTAGTATCTGTCCAATTTTTTCGAGGTCGGTTCGTTGCTAGGCGGTTTAGGTGGAAAACTGTGCGAATAATTGCGTTTTATTACAATACTTTGAACGTCTGATATCCTTCTGAAGTGTTTTGTTTTTTACCTTATAGACGTGACGCCTATCCGTTCAAGAACTTCAGTGGCATCCTCGACTAAACTCTCGTACTTGCTCACGAAATTGTAATTGACTATACAAGGCTGACATAATTCGTATATCGGTCTCCAGTGTTCGTTCCGAGTCCCGTTCTCGGAGTTGTCGGTGACAAAGTCGACGAATTCGCGAAATGTTACGTCATCGCCATTTCTCAAAGACTCCTCGGTCGCGTTTTGTCTATATTTCTGTGAGCAATAAACAGGAATTTTATTTTTTTTTTTTTTTTAGTTTTATATATATGACTGTTTTATTATTTTGTGGTTGATTAAGATAGTTATTTATCTTTATTTTCATGAGAAATTTTTTATTTTACTAAATCTGTGTGTATGATCAACTGAAACAGAGTTGTCATTAATACTCGAAAAAGATATAAGCAATATAATCATTCACGCTATCTTATGTAAAAATCTTGCACGCGGTATTTTTTAAACTTAATTTATCACAATTATCATAACAGGATATTCCTAGCTTTTGCGAGATCTAAAAAAATACTTGTTTTACGTATAGACACGCAGCTCTCGCGCGGTTTATATCACTAAAATAGTTCGTGCTAAAACTTTCCACAGAAAAATCTTGCGATTCATTTATTTACTCAGCGGACTCCTCTCTTGCCGCTAAACTATCGTACGGTTGTAACGTGCGAAATATGTTCTGTAAATACATTATGCGTTGAACAATATTCGATCATCGATGTGAATTAAAAGAGCGAAAAAATGCGCATTTGAACGAGAACAACACGAAAAGTTGTGCTGGATTAAAGAAAATTCGCGCGTTTACCTTGACAATTTTCTTGCCGAAACGACTCTGGAAATATTTTGCGCTTTTCTCATGCTTGGCTTCCAGTTTGTTTCGATAAGCCGATAAAAGCCTTTCCAACGGATGCCGTACGACGATAAGCTTGTTGTACGTCGCTAATTTATTCTCTATCTCGGGCGGCGTATAACTGTTCAGTCGTTGAAAATTACCCGGAGAGTGAGCTTGATCGGCTGGTATTTCTAAGGGGTCATTACCGGGCCATTTGCCGGTCGCGATCATTAGCACGCGTTTCCAATTTGTGCAAGCCACCTGAAAGATACAATAGTTTCGAGTCAGAGAGCGTGTAAGAATGCACTCTGATATTTTTTCTTGTGTGTGTGTGTGTGTGTGTATAAATTGCTATTCTTATTATTCTAATAAAAGCTATATTGCGCACATATATGTTGTTCAATAACAAGGTAAATTTTGCACCTTTGGAACGTAACAGTAGAGTAATTCGTGCGAATCGTCCACGAGGATATTACGGAACAAATCTGGATTTAACGCTTCGATATCCATCTCGTTACTTTCAAGCTCGCAATTATATTGCAATCTTTCCTGTCGCTCCATCAAGGCCGATCTGGCGAGCGCGTTTGGTCCGGTCCAGGAATAAATGTATTTGTTCGACTGTTCAAGCAGTTTCCCGTCACCGTCGTTCACCGAGGTCTGCGCAACGTTCGTGTTTGCGCTCGCGATTGTTTTCCATAGAACGAACGCAACGAGCAAAATTGTACTCCACACTTGACATCCTGTCATCGTTTCTCCTCCTCGTCCACCGCGGACATTGAACTTCCTCACAGACTATCACGCAAACCGTAAAAATGTGATTCTGCAAAAAAAAAACAAGAACGACTGAGTTCTACATTCTATGTTTCATCAGAACATCATTACGAAACCATAATGGTAGAGTTTCGCGAGCTGCAACAAACGTTTCGTGCTACCTAGTTTAGACAGACACATTTGTAAGTCGGCTCGGTGCCGACTAGTTCAAATCTTTTACAGCAGAGTATGAGATAAAAGTCAACGACAATAAATCATATCAAATGAGAACGTACATATGTTTTAAACGCGCATGTATGTACGAATATAAGCACGAGAAGAAACATGAAAACTTGAAATATTTATTGTCAAAGATTTATCATACGCACACAAGAAATTTTTTCTGCTAAAATATAGTGAAATTCTTAACAGTAATAACGCAACATACGTGCAATATCACATGTGCGTAAAACTGATATATTAATCGACATTAAATACAAATAGGTGGTTCTAGTAATCGATGCGCAGACACGAAAACCTGGTTTACTTAGGACTGGAAGTGAAGCAAATATTAGCGAGAGTCGACGTTCAATCTTTATATTTCTGATAGTTTTTCCAGTTGATTTTGCGACTGGTTCTTACACAATGTGCAATAAAATAAATATATTGTAAAGTAAGATAATAATAATAATTATTAGAAATGTTTGAACTTCTAAACAAAAAAACTTTTTTTGTTTATTGAACTTTGCATTTTCTTTTCTTTAATACGAAGAATGAAAAAAACATCTTTCTAGGCCAATGTTACGTTGTAGCATTACCGTAGTAAAAGAAATAACAAAACCAAGTGCAATTATATCACAATGTAGATAAATATCTGTGATATGCTTGAGCATAGAACTTGAAAGTCGTATTACACAAGCGCAGCAATGCTTGAAAAAATTGCTACTGAAAATATGCGCATTTCCTGCAGATATAAATCTATATTTCTTTTGTGTAAAACTTCATTTTTTATTCTTAATTATTGATTTTCTTTTTTTTACTAGTTTTTTAAATAAAATTATACTATATTTCTCTATTTTGTTAATATACAAATGTTAATAAAAAGCATATTTATGTACAAAATATATATATATTTTTTTAATACAAAATAATTAATTGTCCTTTTTTTGTGTAAAATTACTTATAAATCTTTATGAAAATTAATATAAGTTTTTTTGATATTGAGTCATAAATTCGATAAACTTGTCACCTAAAAAAGGAAGACAAATAGCACAAGTGACATTCTGTTGAAGAAAGTGGAGCGTAATCGTGAAGCGACTGACTTGTACAGCACGTGTCAAAAGCACGCGTTAAAAATCAGATTGTCATTGTCTACAAAAATATACATATGTAATAACAAAAATTTAGCTCAACGAGTTATAGTGACGTCAGACGCAAAAAACCTAAAAATCTTGAGACAAAAACACATCTTACCAATGGTAAGTGACAAATTAATTATTATAATCGGCTATTTTCTAATTTTACATTATAATTTATATTGATGTTATTGGTTGCAAAAAACTTATATCAAAATCTAAATCTAACAAAATTGACACGTTTCACCATTATGTGTTAACTTACAAATTAATTATCATTAATCAACTATATTTTAGTTCTATGTTGTGTCTCGTATTGTATAACAGAAATGTTAATTAAAATTCTTTGATTGTATAATTCCAATAACATTTACCATGACATCTTTAATATACATTGACAAAATACTTAACTCGAATCAATATACATCTATTATCATTTATAACCGCAAATAAAAATTAAATCGTCGAATATAAGAGTTAATTCTCGAGTTCAGTGTCATTCGGACACAATAAATTATTTTGATGATGACACAAGCGGTGGTATTCGTAGCACAGTTCACTGTTGCGAGGCTGATGTTACGGCAATCGATCGCGATCGATTCGAGAGCCGCGCCTCTCTTTACATTCACTTGATTTGTACACCTTAACGAACTTATTGTAAAACGCGTTTTATACAATAAAAAAAACCGAACACAAGTTTTTCAACTTACTTTGTGCAAATACGATGCGTGGTCAGACACAGTTTCCAAATTTGAACAACATGTTTTGCGAACATGTGGATTCTTTGAAGCGTGCAATCATGTGTGATGAGTGTATCGCAGTTTTATAAAGACCTTAACCTTTCAGAACAGCAAACTGGATCCGGTTTTTATCGAAAAACTTCATTCAAATACATCAAGTTTTTTGAAAAAAAAAAAAAACTCTGCGTTTTTTTCTTTTCGAAAATCTCAAAATTAACAATCAACGGCGAACACGACGCGAATTGGCACGTAAAAAGAACGTAAAAGAATACGATTGGTCAAGCAGCCGATCCGTGTAGCAGCAGGCGATAATCTTGGGTCGGCTTGGAAGGCCCTCAGAAATGAGACGAAGATGTGTCGGTGCGTTGAGGTGAAAGACGCTGCGCGCGCCTCTTCGTTCCGTTCTCGTTGTTTTTTCGACCATGTTATTCCCGGATTGGTCCGTCTTGCTCCGATCCAAGTTCAGTTCCACGGAGTTTCCCCACTTTAAACCGGGCCCGTACATGTGTCTATAAACGAAGGCCACATGTAAAACCACAATTGCATAAATCATCTCAAACTAGCCGAATTATATCCACACGTGTGTAACGAGTCTTCATCAGGTCAAAAACCGCGGAATATGATAATGACATAATTTTTGAAATAAAACAATTAACATTTTGTAAAGAGTTTAATTAAATTACATATTAGTTTATTTATACTTTCTTGATTTTTGATTTCTTGACTTATTGTTTTATCTCTTTGCATTAGTTGCACATTCAATTTTGCTTTCACTTTTATATCGTATAGATGAGTCTTCTTTGAAAGTGTTCTTTTTCAGCCATCTGAATAACTACATACAGCATATAATCAAAGATTTCTTACATATGATAAGACAATTTACATATTTTTTTCGTTAAAATTTAGTTATTTATCCTTGGTAGGTTTATATATATTTTAACTGCAAAAAGAAGATAACAGAAATTATTACGTTCAAAAGATGTTATTTGATTAGATTTATTATTTTATTTGAGATTGATAATTTTTCTTAATAAAAACATGTATTTATCTTTGTGTCAAGTAAGTAAAAAATAAATTATTAATTAATAATTATTTTAGTTTAAAAAATCGCATTAAGTAATAAAATTGTTTATTTATAATTTTTAAATAAAACATTTGTATTATAAAATTCTACAGCTGAAAGGTATAATGTATAATATAAGAACATATAATACAAAAAGATAAATATAATGTAGACACATATAATATTTCTTAATATTTTTGAATTTGGAAAAGTATGATTAAAAAAATTAAAATGTATTAAATAATACTCTTTCACTAAACAATTTTACATACCTCTGAGAGATATGTTATCAATATGAGAAATGTAATAAAAAATTTCACATTTCACATATTTCTATTGTATAAAAATGTAATTTGTTACAAACAACATATCAGGAAGAAATTAAAAATTTTTGAACCGAGTCTTATTATCCAAGCAAATAAGCACTTTTGCAATTCTACACTTGCGTTGCAAAATGCACTAAAGTTGCTCGTTGAGCGAAATATNAAGTTCAGAAATATCTGCTGTGTTAGCAAGAAAGTAGAAGTTTTAGACAAAGTATAAAATTGCAAAAGAGTCTCGTACACATACGTACAAAGATATAAGTCAGTAAGCTTTATCGTAAGATTTATCGTAAAAAAGTATAGGTCGGTAAGCTTTATTGTCTAATAAAGTGACAACACGCAATTTCAATCACAAGTGAATGTCAAGTAAGATTGCGAAAGAAACATTAGCGGAATTGCTTCTATCTATCTACGTTGCGTTCATAAGAATCTTTCAGCATCAATGTTAAATGAAATTGCGCAATAGAGATGAGAGAAATGATGAAAGACATTTTTCATTTATATAATCTAAACATATACAGATAAGAGGTCTGATAAAAAGTTCATGTATAATTAATCTAAAACTATACAGAATATAGCTAAAAAATATATACTTATACAGAATATAATGATAAAAAAAGATTTTATTATTTGCAAAAGTATTTGCATTATATTTTAAGATGCAAAAATATGTTAGTTAAAACATGGATGTATCATCTCTGTTTTTTTTTTATTTTCTTTCTTTCATTTCTCTATTGATAGTACAAAAAACAAAATGTATATAAATTGCCAGTCGCAATATTGATATTTCATTTTATTGTGTTATAATTATTTTAAGATTAGANCTAATTATTATTATTCATTAATATTTACACCTGTGGTATAATATTGTTACTAATCAGGAACTTGTGACATTGCCGTCAGTATTTTTTATTATAAAGACGTCAATAATTACTTTTGAATTTTAAGATGACATGTACTTGAGTAAACTTAATGAATTTTTCTTATCGAAAAAAAAACAGCACAGCTCNCTGACTTTACTACTTAGCCTTTATACACTCACTCAAGCNAAATCACAAGCATTNAGTTTCTCTTTAGCCTTCGTCCAACAAGCATCTCNGAGGCTCATCGACTCTATCTGTGCAGAGAAACGTCGGGATAAACTGTATGTAACTGAAGACGACAATCAGCATTTGAATAAAGGTGTTGCAAGAAAGGAGCGGTTAATCTCAGTTGCAACATTGCCGAAAATATTTCAAGTTAGGTAATATACTTTCACATTTAAAAACCTTGGTCTTATTCACGTATTACGTCCCTTTAAGTTATGCAATATTTTTATACAAAGACATAGTAACAATTAAAAATATGTAATTAATATTAAAATCATCAAAATATTATAATATAATAATAATAAATTATAAAGCTTTTGAGTTAATAAATTATATTAAAAAAAATCAAAAAAAAATTCATTTAAAAGTTGCTAGTGCGCAAGAAATAAAGTTTTTTTCAGATACATTTTGACCTTAAGATTTTATTGCATTTTTTTCTCAATACAGAAATAAAACCTACTTTTAAAGTGAATTANATAACAAAAAACATAAGATAACAAAAAAATTCCTTAAATAGTTTTGAACTTTGGATAGCGGAGAAGCTTCAAATTCGGCTNACGGTCAGAATAATAGTTTTTGTTTTTAAATTCCACTTTCCACTTATAAGATATAAAATTCATCTGTCAATTCATTTTGAGAGTTGACCTTTGGGAAAAAATTCTCGATCTACTGCCTATTTCTTTATATCTCCCGATAGCTCTTCTGAATAAAGATATACAAACAAATTTACTTTATCTTTTAGATAAAACAATTATGTAAAAAAAGATAAAATTATTGAGAACTTATCAAAGGTGAAAAATTGCGTACTAATGTTTGATTCGTATAATTTAAATTTACTTTGGGAAAAATATTATCCTCACGCAATTCGATGTTCACGTTGACTCTGATGACCTCATTCTTTTGAAAGAAATTATTTTTTTCTTGTACGGTAAATGGCAAGAAATATGCGCTGCAAATAGCATAAGTTTCTTTTTTCAATGTTCTTTTTTNAATAATTAAAGCAAATTGATAATTACTTTAAATGTAAATTTTAATTTTTAAATGCAATAAATAATTTATACAAATATACATGATTAAAACTTGAACAAAAACTATACACAAAGTAAAGCTTGAACTATTGGATGTAAATAATCTTTATAAACAATAATAATCTTTAATAAATATAAACTTTTATAAATATAAATTTTAATAAACAATAATAATCTTTAACAATATAACTTTTATAAACAATAACTAAAACAGTGATAAGTAAATTTCTTCTGAGCATGTGGTTTTGTTTCTTTNTTTGTAAAATTTCATTTAACAATATGAAAGAATAATATCAAACAATATTTACAAAAACAAATTTTAAATAACATTTTAGAAAATTGTATTTAAATATAGGTAACACAATAGAACATAAATAGAATTTGTTATTATTTTCTTTCAGTTTTCTTTCAAGAACATAAAACAATAGCAGAAAAAGATGATACTCTTAATAGTATTTTGGCTGGTCATCAGCTTAATTTTCTGGGCTTTATTTGATTCCATAGTGCAAATTTTGCCTGTTCTGTGGGAAATTATTATGCAGATATACAAAAAGAAACCAATTGATTTTCGAAAACAATTTGGTGAATGGGCAAGTAAGCACAATTTATTTTTTAACATTATTTAAACCATTGATGATCTTTAAGTGTAATATTTCTTAACTTATCATTTTTATGTGTGATCTCAATTAGTGTACAGAAAGTTTTATTAATATTTAATGTGGTGTTTAATATAAGAAATTTGTATATTTCAGTTGTAACTGGTTCTACTGATGGTATCGGTAAAGCTTATGCTAAAGAATTAGCAGCAAAAAACATGAATTTGATTCTAATTAGCAGAAACTTAGACAAACTAAATAACACAAAACAAGAAATAATGCTAATAAATCCAAAGATTGAAGTGAAGATCATAGTTGCTGATTTTAGTGAAGGAAAAGATGCTTTTGATAAGATTCGTTCTCACTTGCAAGATATAGCAGTTGGCATATTAGGTAATCAAACAATTTAATTTGTTTATATGCACTTTATACGTTAACTTATAACAATTTTATACAGCAATTTTACCCCTGAAAGATTGATGTTTGTTTAGCCTCAAGGGGTGATAAAATTCTTAATGAAGCATAAAAGAGTAATTATAAAAGTAATAAAGTTCGAAATTTGAATTTTTTATTGTGTGTAAATTGAGGTGTCCTCGGGCTCGTGATAAATTTCAAAATGGAATGTGAGAAGAGGACCTTACGAACCGGTTGCAGGGTGTTGTGCAAAATAATATACAACACCCTGCAACCGGTTCGTAAGGTCCTGTTCTCACAATCCATTTTGAATTTTATGTTTGTATAAATATACAGACCTTTTAAATTTTTTTGGCCAGTATACAAATGTCTATCCGTGTAATTTTTTAGCTTGAAATTAATGAGGTATTAAGATATCGGTTTTTTCTCGCTGCTATTGCTAAAGCTTTATAAAGTTATTCATTTGAAATCAGGAATGATATAAAAGACAAAAAAGGCTGATTGAGATTTCATGAAACGATAAATTGTTTAGGATGTTTCGATAATTTTTGATTATTTTATTTTAAATATAAATGAGTACTATAACAAATGTCAATTTCGTGCAAACAAAGGTGGTTAATATGTTTATACAATTATTGTTTTTTATCTTTTATACATAATATATATAAATATAAGTACATTGATAATGGCTGTTTGAAGCAGACACGGGCGTTGGTGTGTGTGGTTGTAAAAAATTAACTTATTGAGACAAAGTCGTAGAACGTTTTCGATCTTATGTTTAGGTCTTTTTCTCTCTCTCTCTCAATATAGTTCTACAAAATAATATTTAATATAAAAATTTGCAGAGATAATACATAAAAATATTATTGAAAGACTTACATAGATGTAGAGATGGTCATCCCATAGGTGTCAAACTAAAGTTCGTGATATAGAAACAAAAATTGATCATCACAATCTAACGAGGCAACGCATCATTTGAAAGATCGTTCGACAAAAACTTCTTTAAGTCATTATTTTAAAAAAATGTGTTTCAGTCTCTGTTTAAAAATGTCATAAATAAGGTCAAAGGGATAATTGTTGTCAATTAAAAATCATGTCGAAATTCTTTGAACGAAACTTTGGATGTGATAAGAAGGTTTATGATGCCTTATATAAATAATTATTCTGAAAAATTTTCAAAAAATTTCCTAAAGACACAAATACACACTCAGCTTTTTATAGTATCAATAAATTCAGGATCAAGATTTATTGAATATATAAAAAGAATTAAGGATTGAAACGCAAGATGAAATTCTTTGAGCTTTTTAGACGTCTAGATTGTGTCTAATAATAGAACAATCACGTGCGACTGGTACTATAAATCCACATTTTCGGACAGGTATTTAAATTATCACTCCTCACATCCAGTCTCTCAAAAAATAGGAANTATTATGCTGAAAATATATAAGATTTATTAAGGTTCTTAAGAATTCTCTTCCTCTATACGTCTTTCGGTTGTATATAAAATAAATTGCCGTTATTGTAATGCGTCGTACGTTGGACAAACGGGCAGAATGTTGCAAACGAGAATAAAACATAAGAACCATATTAATAGGAACTTCTCTCAGAGATCTGTGATTACTGATCACAGAATTCAATATACTCTCACGATTTCAATTGGGAACGTGTTAAAATATTAGATAATGAGAGATCTTATAATAAGCGTTTGAGATATCGGAAACTTTATATGTAAAAAGTCAGAGGCATGATCTTAATTTACACAGCGACACTGAAANTCTAGATAGATCATATTTATCATTTGTGGATAATACTTGTGACTGAGCTGTGTGATCGTTGATTGTGGCTTTGACTTCTATTTAAATCTGCGCACACTGTATAGTCTTCTCAGTCGTGTTGTTACTTTTGTTAAGCGGAAGTCAATGTTTGTTCTTATATCACGAACTTTAGTTTGACACTTATGCGATGACCATCTCTACATCTATGTAAGTCTTTCAATAATGTTTTTATGTATTATCTCTGCAAATGTTCATATTATTTTGTAGAACTATAAAAAAAGACCTAAACCAAAAGTCGAAAACGTTCTACAACTTCGTCTCAATGAACTAATTTTTTACAACCACACACATCAACACCCGTGTCCGTTTCAAACAGCCATTATCAACATTCTTATATTAATAAATTTTGAAGCTGTCTACACGCATTATTATTTATAATATATATAGTTACATAAAATAATTTTTTTCAAATGTAATTAGATAATTGAACAGTATCTTAAAATAAAAATTACCTTTTCAGTCAACAACGTGGGTAAAAATTATGAATATCCCATGTATGTTGGAGAAGTTCCGGAAAAAGATCTGTGGGATATTATCATGTTGAATGTAGGTGCGACTACGTTAATGACGCGATTGGTTCTCGAGCAGATGCAAAACCGTGGACGAGGCGCGATCGTCAATGTCTCTTCCGGATCAGAGTTTCAACCGCTACCGTTAATGACAGTGTACGCCGCCACAAAGGCATACATAAAGAACTTTTCCGCAGCTCTTAGAGCGGAATATTCCAAATTTGGCATAACTGTTCAACATTTATCGCCACTTTTTGTCAACACAAAAATGAATGCGTTTAGCCCGAGACTTCAGGTACACTGCATATCAACAATATTTTAACATGTGTAATTGGATTCTCTATGAACAAAAATTTCTTTTTGCAAAGCTCATTTGTATTGCGTCAATGTTATTTCGCTGCATATTAACTTTATATGTTGCATTGTTTCTTCGCGCTTTTCCTACTTTTGTGACACTTCAATTTTACATGTTATATAGTTTTTTATAATTATTTGTTATAGATTTCAAATATATTTGTGCCCGACACCACAACTTATGCGAGAAACGCAATTGACACTCTTGGCAAAATAGACAGCAGCACTGGATATTGGGCTCATAGTTTACAAAAATTTGTTACCTTAACATCACCTGTATGGATTAGAATGAAAGTAGGAAAACTTTTGAATGAATACTTTAGACAAGATTATTTCAAACTGAAAAAACACGTAAAACTGCAATAATATGTGCATATATAAAGCACATAATGTTTTTATATTTACCTTATGTAAAAGACGAATTAAGTGATTATTTATTGCTTTTTTATATAGAGTGGGTATAAAAATTACTACTAGCATTCTATAATATATGTATATATTCTAACGTGTATTAATTTTTACGGAGATATGACCAGTTACACAAACTAATAATACATTTTTATTAAAAAATTAACACAATTTTTTAATAAATACTTTTATAGAAAAAACATACAGTTGTTTAATTACAATTATTGAAATTAATATATTAATATATTTATATATATATAATTATTGTTTATATATTTATATTAATGTATATAATTATTGTAATCAGGGACTCGGACCGAAATGAAATTTCGGTCCGTTTACGGTTACGGTCCGATGCTGTACCTGATTTTCGGTTTCGGTTTCGGTTTCGGTCCTTTTATCAAAAACGGTGACCGTAACCGTTTGGATATCGATTTTTTTCGGTCACAAGTGTTTAAGTAT